TTGCTGCTGCTGTTGCTGCTGCTGCTGTTGTTGTTGCCGCTGTTGCGTGCTGCTCTATATATCTATTTTATTTTTTTTGTTTTGTTTAGGAGTGGCGATGGGGTGTGCGAAAATGCGTCGGGCGAACTGCAAACAAAGACAGCAGAAGACAGCGGTGCTGCTCTCTTATAAACTTTAATTAATATATTAATTAATTAATTAATATAATTAATTAACTAATTATATTAATTAATTAATTAATTAATTATATCTAAATAAATATATTCTGTTTGTTTGTTTGTTTTTTGTTTGTTTGTTTGTTGATATCTCTATTTGTTTATTTATTTCTTATCGTTTGTCTGTCCCTTAGGATTGCTTGTCTTTCTTTGATTATTTTTTATTATTTCTTTTTTATTTAAAGACAATTAGCAAATCTTTTTTGTTTTTGTGCAGATGATGAATTTGCTGATGCTGATATCGACGAGGCGGAAGACCAGCTACCTCCTGCTGCTGCTGCTGCTGCTGCTGGGGATAGCTCTGCTGCTGCTGCTGCTGCTCCCGTTCAAAACGCTGCTCAACAGCAGCAGCAGCAGCAGCAGGGGAACCGCCGCAGAAGCACTCAGCAAGATGATAGCGGTATGCTTGCCTTCTTTCATATTATTGTTTAGTTTACAATTTATACTTATGCATATTAATAAATATGAGCAAATATAAATTTATAAATATACATATAAGTGTATAGAAATATATTTATTAATATGTTTATTCGTATTTTCATTTATAGTGCAGATGTCGTTTGTCTGATGCAAAGAAAGAATACGATGTGCTAATATATATATATATATATATTAGTATGTGAATATGCATAAATAGATATAGATATACATGGGTGTACATATATATATATATATATATATATATATATCTGCGTATGCGTGGAATAATATAATATAATATAATATCGTATAATATAATATAATATAATATAATATAATATAATATAATATAATATAATATAATATAATAT